TGCTTAGGCCTTCAAGAGAGCGCAATGGTCTAAACATTTAGGTATATGTAAACGTATATTGAAAAACAACTTTGTTTCTTCTTAAATAGCAAGTATCTAGCATACATCTATAATTGAATAGTCACGTAAACTGATCCGATACTTTGTTTTATGACTGATCCCGCTTGTAGGGTTGTCAGGTCTCTTTTCAAAAAGAGAATCTAGCAGGGGGGAGGGTAGTAAATATATTACAATTAAATTATATATTTTCTTACAGATTTCCTCTCCTCAATGTCTTAGACTGTATAGCTTTAGATTATGTACTAATTCATCACAAAGCTTTTGAATAAAAAAAATGTCCACTATTTTATAAAAAAAAAGAGTAAAAATAATGTGAAAAAAGGGGACTGTCCATTCAAAAATTGGACACCAAGCAACCATACTCCCTTATGTACCATTTGTTTAATGTTTTGAGCACACCTATTCTAATTACAATATGCCTAAAGTAATTAGTATCTTTACGAAAGTGATCAATAGCATAATTTTTACTTTCTCATTATGCAATGTAGAGAATGTTCCATAGTAGTGTAAAACCTGATCTCGAAATGTTAATAGAAGGTACGTGTTTTCAGGGCCTTTATCGAAAATTGGTTTTTGTCGTTTGCTTAAATCCGACGTAGATAATGTTTCTTTAATCGGAATTACATCCATATATGCTATCATTGTAAAGTGTTGATTTTGTTGATTACCATGATGATCTCGTAGGTCACAAAATCAAGGGCATTTGGCTCTTTAATCATCCAAGTTCATTCATCGTGTTTTCAGGTGATTGAACGTACGGTCCTGTACCTAAGTGAAGGATTTTTTCGCACCCCAGAATTCATGATGCAAATTCACGAGGCTTTTGTATCATGAAGCGAAAGCTAAAAGAAAATTGTTTATTAAAAAGGATTTTTGCTGAATTATGAAATAACGTATCCTCAATGTCATTGTGCAAATTTATTTCCACACCACCTATGTCTTTCTTCTTAAATGGAAAAATTAATTAGTAAATCTTATGGTAAGACGTTAAATTGTATAAGTAAAATATAAATATCTTGAAAGCATAAAGAACAGTCAGAAGATTTCGTATGATTTAATGAACGCAGAATTTAACTGATTCGCATGACGAAAAGCAACATGAAAAATCAAATATATTTATTTAGTATTTACTACTACTACTACTACTACTACTACTACTACTACTACTACTACTACTACTACTACTACCATACCTTCC